AAATGGCTTTCTTCTTGCCACTCTTCCATAAAGGCCAGATTTGTGAAGTGCACGACTGATTGTTGTCCTATGAACAGACTCTCCCACCTCAGCTGTAGTTATCTGCAGTTCATCCAGAGTGATCATGGGCCTCTTGGCTGCATCTCTGATCAGTCTTCTCCTTGTTTGAGATGAAAGTTTGGAGGGACGGCCGGGTCTTGGTAGATTTGCAGTGGTCTGATACTCCTTCCATTTCAATATAACTCCTTGCACAGTGCTCCTTGAGATGTTTAAAGCTTGGGAAATCTTTTTGTATCCAAATCCGGCTTTAGGCAAGGCAAGGCAAGTTTATTTATATAGCACAATTCATACACAAGGCAATTCAAAGTGCTGAACAAAACAAGAAAGCATTAAAATCATAAATTATCACAGAACATTAAAAAGAAAGATAAAAATATAAAATCCCTCAGTTGTATGCACAGTTAAACAGAACCGTCTTTTACCTGGTTTTAAACATTGTCAGAGAGGAGGCCTGTCTCACATCTTCAGGAAGACTGTTCCAGATTTTAGCAGCATTAATCTGAAAAGCAGCCTCCCCATGTTTAGTTCTGACTCTGGGCACTAACAGGAGTCCAGTCCCTGTGCTCCTCAGAGTCCGGGCTGGTTCATATGGGACTAACATGTCACTAATATATTTTGGTGCGAGGCTATGGAGAGACTTGTACACAAGCAGAGCTGTTTTAAAGTCTATTCTCTGAGCCACAGGAAGCCAGTGCAGAGACCTGAGGACTGGACTAATGTGGTCGTACTTCCTGGTTCTTGTCAGGACTCGAGCTGCTGCATTTTGAATGTACTGCAGCTGTTTTACAGCCTGTTTGGACAGACCTGTGAGCAGGCCATTGCAGTAGTCTAACCTACTGGAGACAAATGCATGGATAAGAATCTCCAGGTCTGCTTTAGACACTATGTTTTTGATCCTGGCAATGTTTTTTAGATGGTAAAAAGCTGCTGATGTTACTGATTTGATGTGGCTATTAAAATTTAAGTCTGAGTCCAGTATTACCCCTAGATTTCTGACCTTGTTTGAAGGTTTTAGGGAGAGAGACTGTAGGTGACAGATGACGCTCTCTCTTTGTTTCTGGGGACCAAAGACAATCATTTCAGTTTTGTCTGCGTTTAGCTGAAGGAAGTTGTTTTGCATCCACTCACTGATCTGTTGGATACAGTGAAGGAGTGAGTCCACTGGTCCATGTTCTCCTGCAGTCAGTGAGACATAGATCTGAGTGTCGTCTGCATAGTTATGATAGGAAACTTTGTTTCTGCGTATTAACTGACCTAACGGCAGCATGTAGAGATTGAACAGAAGAGGTCCCAGGATCGACCCCTGTGGGACTCCACAGGTCAGGGCCATATGATCTGAGACACAGTTTCCAATCTCCACAAAGTACTTCCTGTCTTCAAGGTAAGACCTAAACCAACTTAGGGCGGTGCCAGTGACGCCAACCCAGTCCTCTAGTCTCTGTAAGAGGATCTCATGGTCGACGGTGTCAAAGGCAGCACTTAGATCTAACAAGATTAAGATTGAGACTTTGCCTGCGTCAGTGTTCAGCCGGATATCGTTTGTAACCTTAACGAGAGCAGTCTCAGTGCTGTGGTGGGGTCTAAAGCCGGACTGAAACATATCAAATGAGTTGTTGATTATAAGAAATCTAGTAAGCTGTAGGTAGACAACTTTCTCAAGGACTTTCCCCATAAATGGCAGATTTGAGATGGGACGATAGTTGTTAAGTACAGTGGCATCCAGACTGCTCTTTTTTAGCAGGGGCCTGATGACTGCAGTTTTCAGGGCCTTTGGGAATATTCCAGAATGAAGGGACATGTTTACTATCTGTGTGAGTGAAGGTAACAGACTGCTCAGAACAGACTTCAGAAATCTAGTGGGTAGTACATCCAGGCTGCATGTGGAGGAGCTCAAACTGGAGATTATCTCTTGGACAGTTTTATCATTTACAGGTGCAAAGTGAGTTAGCTCAGAGAGCCTTTCTGGCTGTTGGATGGTTATCTGTGGATTGGAGACAATGGCGCTTTTGATGCCTTGAACCTTGTCATTGAAAAAATTAGCAAACTCATTGCATTTACGTTTGGAAGTAAGCTCTAATGGCATTTGAACAGGGGGGTTTGTTAATCTATTAACTGTTGAGAACAGAACACGCAGATTGTTGCTGCAGCCTTCAATCATTTCAGAAAAATACCTTTCTCTCGTACTACGTAGCACCCGGTTAAACTCGCACAACTTATCTTTGAAGATCTCGTAATCTACCTGGAGGTTGGACTTGCGCCACTTCCGCTCGGCCCTCCGGCACTTTCTCTTTTGTGCCCTGACCGAGTCTGCTTTAGCCCACGGCGCCTTCTGCTTATTTTTCACTATTTTAACCTTCACAGGGGCAACGGTATCCAGAACATTCAAAACACTAGAGGTGACAGAGTTAAACAGTTCATCTACAGTAGAATACGATGCATTCTCAAAGTTTATCATTTCCATAAATAGTTCACTCAATATATTTCATTTATGCGCCTTCTTCGAACAGTTGCAGAGTCCACTGAGTGGTTTGTTAGTGAAACACATGTCAAAAAAAAAACACAGAAATGATCTAAGCCTCCTCCTTTTTTGTTTTCCCGTATTTCAGATTCAAACTTGAAATTTGGTGGTGATGCTTCTATTAAAACTGCATTTTCTGAATTTTGGTCAAGCCAAGTTTCAGCCATGAACATAAGATCAAGATTATGAGAAGAAATAAAATTATTGATTAAAAAAGACTTGTTACAAAGAGATCTGACATTAAGCGTAGCAAGTTTCAAAGTTTCAGTATCAGCGGTTGCGGTCGGCTGATTCTTACACGGAACAAGAATTAGATTTTCCAGATTAGACTGATTAACTCCAGATGTTTTTCTGTAATGTTTTCTTTGTGTTATCACTAAGGGAATGGCACAGGTGGCTTCATGACTGGGCCCCAGCCGGGTCTCTCCTCTAACTAGACTGCCAGTGGCTGCGAAGCAGAGCCCCTGTGCATCCTAGGATGACTGGACTGTTACATGACAACATCAGGAATGAAATGAGGATGTATCTCCAGGATGAGAACAGCACAGATGAGCTCCTACTGGAGAAGATGCAAAATGCACAGTACAATGAAAGTGAAAGAGCTCTAAAAATCAAAGCAAACAAGAATTTTAGAGCAGCACTAAATGTTGTGGAGCAGTCGGAATCACAAAACGATTCCTGCTCTAGTCAGCTTGCAACAAAAGCTAAACCAACCAAAGACAATTCACTCTACTCAAAAATAGAGGAAAGCAACACAGCCATCAGAGAACTCATGGTCAAGTAGCTGCACTTATGCAAAATGTTCACTGTGGCAACAAACCATTCAAAAAGTCAGTGCCAAGACAGAGGAGACAATGTACTGCATGTCACGAAGAAAACAAAGACTCTAACCACTGTTTTAAATGTGGCAGTGACTCACACTGGGCTAAAGGGTGTAGAGTAGGGAGAACGCAGGATCAGGGAAACTAGAGAAAGCTGTGACTGAGGGACGTGCCACAGCTCAGCATTTCAAGTCCCAGAGTGTTAAACCCCAAAACTCTAAAATTGTCCAAAAGATACAGTCAAACTGTAGAGGCAAACAAAAAGTGTCACAACATGATTTTAGTCTTGCAAAAACTGACCAACCATGCAGCTTGGTTAACCCTATAGTAAAACGGAATAGAGTAGCACAGCTGGTGGGTAAACAGTGTCTAGTTTGGTGCAGAATAGGAAAGTTTAAACCCCAGGCCTTGTGGGACACCGGAGCCCAGGTTTCAATCATTAGTGAGTCATGGAAAACTAATAACCTTCCTGATTTAAAAGTGCATCCTGTTAGTGATTTACTAGGAAATGGTGAACTTTTAGATTTGAGAGCAGTAAATGGGTCCGAGATTCCATTTCAGGGCTGGGTTGAGGCTAGTCTTAGCCTTTGTGATCCAAAAGGAAAATCTCAAAATGAAATGTTGGTTCCAATCTTAGTCAGTCGTGACACTATGCAAAAACCAATAATAGGATTTAATGCTATTGAGGAACTGATTAAACAGGACCATACTGAGTCAAGTGACAGAGTAGCCTTATTGAGAAACTCACTAAAAGTAGGTGCGGGAAAGGCAGCAGCCCTTTTGAGCCTTATCTATTCAGCTACTGATGAAACAGTCTGTTATCCAGTCAGGACAGGGCGCACTGCAGTTATTGTGCAAAGTGGCCAAATACACTGTATTAGCTGTCCTATTAAAGCAGATGTGAGAGGACAAACTGAAATGCTTTTTGAGCCAGATGAGAACCTCTCCTTAGATGAAGAGTTAAAGTTTAACTGTCAGGTGTTGGGTGTATCTGGCACATCAAAAAAAGCGAACATTTACGCTACAAATATTACCAAACGTGACATAGTTTTATCAGCAAAGACATTTTTAGGCAGCATAGAGAGAGCAACACACTGCTATCCAGTTAATCTTGATCAGGTTCAGGATTGCTCAGTTGTTGTTGAAAGCTCTCACTCATGCTTGGAAAAGTCATGTGACCCATCAGTTAACTTAAGTCACCTCACACCAGACCAACAAGTGGTCGCCATGGAGATGCTGAGGAAGGACTCAGGTGCATTTGCAAAGAACAAAGATGACATTGGCTATGTTAAAAACTTAAAAATGGACATTAAATTGACAGATCAGAATCAGAATCAGAATCATTTTTATTGCCACGTAAGTAACAGGAGGTCACAGACTTGGAAATTGCTTTGGCTCAGTGCAACAGTCAGAAAGAGATAATAAAAATAAGAATAAAAAACACTTCTAAAGAATACATTTAAATTTAAAATAGAGTTACAGTTACTATTTACAATATACAAGTGCACATGGTGCACACAATGTAAGGTGACAGCAGTACAGTGAAGTAAAGTGACGTATGATGGGCAGTAAAGTGACTTTATAAAGGGCGGGGGGACAGGTTAAGAAGTGTTCAAGAGTCCAACAGCAGAGGGGAAGAAACTGTTCTTGTGGCGGGAGGTTCTAGTCCTGATGGACCGCTGTCTCCTGCCTGAGGGGAGTGATTGGAATAGTCCATGTGCAGGGTGACAGGGGTCGGCTGTGATACGACCAGCCCGGCCTCGAGCTCGGGCGACGTACAGGTCCTGCAGCGATGGAAGGCTGCGGCCGATGACTTCCTCTGCAGAGCGCACAATGCACTGTAGTCTCTGTTTGTCCCTGACTGTGGCTCCAGCGAACCACACGGTGATGGAGGAGGTGATGGAGGAGGTGATGGAGGAGGTGATGGAGGAGGGGAGGATGGACTCGATGATGGCCGTGTAGAACTGCAGCTTGGCTTTCCTGAGCTGCCGCAGGAAGTACATCCTCTGCTGGGCCTTCTTGATGAGGGAGCTGATGGTCGGCTCCCACTTGAGGTCCTGGGTGATGGTGGTGCCCAGGAAACGGAAGGACTCCACAGAGGTGATGGGGGAGTCCATCACGGAGGGTGGGGGCGGGGGGACAGTGCTCTTCCTGAAGTCCACAATCATCTCCACTGTCTTCTGGGCGTTCAGCTCCAGGTTGTTACCACTGCACCAGGACACCAGCCGGTCCACCTCCCTCCTGTAGGCGGACTCATCGTTGTTGGAGATGAGTCCAATGAGGGTGGTGTCGTCCGCGAACTTCACGGAGTCGTGGCTGGAGGTGCAGTGGTTGGTGTACAGGGAGAAGAGCAGGGGAGAAAGAACACAGCCCTGTGGGGCTCCTGTATTTATAATCCGAGAGTCCGAGACATTCTTCCCCAGACGCACTCGCTGCTTCCTGTCTGTCAGGAAGTCAGTGATCCACCTGCAGGTGGAATCAGGCACGTTGAGCTGGGAGAGCTTGTCCTGGAGCAGGGATGGCAGATGAGGTACCTGTAGCAAAAGCTTATAATGCAGTCCCTCGTGCGCTTTATGATTAAGTTAAAAACCACATTCAGGACTTGTTGGGTAAGGGTTTTATACAAAAATCAACCTCACCTTATGCTTCATCTGTGGTGTGTGTAAGAAAACGAGACGGAAGCCTTAGACTCTGTATTGATTATAGAAGTTTAAATAAAAAGACAATCCCAGACAGGCACCCTATACCACGCATTCAAGAGATACTTGATGGACTTGGTGGCAACATGTGGTTTAGTGTGCTTGATCAAGGCAAAGCATACCATCAAGGTGAAATTAGTGAGAACTCCAAAAAATACACTGCGTTCGTAACACCCTGGGGGCTGTATGAATGGAACAGAATTCCATTCGGTCTCACTAATGCACCCTCAGCTTTCCAGCGCTGTATGGAGGAGAGCCTTGAAGGTCTGCGCGATAAAATATGCATGACACCACTTTTGGCAGTAAACCCAATTTAAAAATTACAAAAAGGGAACTACTACAAGCTCAGATGGAAGACTCTATTATCAGTTTGATCATTGATCTGAAGCCAACAGAATGTGGCAGGGGTTTGTAAGAGCCTGAAGACCATCTCGGCTTCAAAACACCCCCTATCCAGCCTGTGGGGCTGTGGGAGCCTTAATGATCTAAACCAATTTTTCCTGCGGTTTGATCAGAGACCCACCCCTCCCCCAGCTCAGCCGCATGTCCTAGCCGCCTCAGCAGTGGACAATAGCCCAGTCGTTCACACCTCTGTCAGCGCTCCACCCCCCCCCCCCCCCCTCAGACACAGATACTCACCCAGCCCTCCCCTTTCTTTCACACCTGCTCAAGTGAGAGGTGTGATGAAGAAAATCAAGACCAAGAAGGCGGCTGGACCAGACCATGTGAGCGCCAGGCTCCTCAGCTCCTGTGCAGACGAACTGTGCGGAGTTATGGGGCACGTCTTTAACATGAGCCTCCGCCTGAGGTCGGTACCACAGATCTGGAAGACCTCCTGTGTGGTACCAGTGCCCAAGAAACCACGGGCCAAAGACCTCAGCGATTTCAGGCCAGTGGCTCTAACATCCCACTGCATGAAGACACTGGAGAGACTGGTCCTGGGACATCTCCGCTCCACTCTGAGCCCAGCGATGGACCCGCTGCAGTTCGCCTACAGGCCGGGCATCGGAGTAGAGGACGCCATCATCTCCCTCCTCCATCGCTCGCTGTCCCACCTTGAGAAACCCGCACCGCTGTGAGGATTATGTTCTTTGACTTCTCCAGCGCCTTCAACACCATCCAGCCGAGGCTTCTCAAGGACAAGATGGAGACAGCCGGTGTGGACCACGACCTGTCTGAGTGGATCCTGGACTACCTCACAGACAGACCCCAGTTTGTGAGAACCAGGGACTACGTGTCTGAGGTCCTGACCTGCAGTGTGGGGGCCCCCCAGGGGACAGTCCTCGCACCGTTCCTCTTCACCCTCTACACTGCGGACTTCAGACACAACACGGACGGTTGTGTTCTACAGAAGTTCTCTGACGACTCTGCCATCATCGGACTCAGCTCCGAGGACGATGACGCAGAGTACAGAGGAGTTATACAGAACTTTGTGGACTGGTGTCAGCGGAACCACCTCCTCATCAACGCGGGGAAGACCAAGGAGATGGTGGTGGATTTCCGTAGACGTCACTCTGCCGCTCCAGCCCCAGTGTACATCCTGGGAAAGGGAATTGAGAGAGTGGACTCTTACAAGTACCTGGGTGTTCATCTGAACCACAAACTGGACTGGACTCATAACACAGACGCCCTCTTCAAGAAGGGCCAGAGCCGCCTCTACCTGCTGAGGAGGCTCAGGTCTTTTGGAGTGCAGGGGCCACTCCTGAAGACCTTCTATGACTCTGTGGTGGCATCAGCCTCTTGTACGGTGTGGTCTGCTGGAGCTGCAGCAGCATCACAGAGAGGGACAGGAAGAAGCTGGACAAGGTCATCAGGAAGTCCAGCTCAGTCCTGGGCTGTTCCCTGGACACAGAGCAGCAGGTTGGGGACAGGAGGGTCCTGAGCAAACTAACATCTATGCTGGACCATGACTGTCACCCCCTGCAGGACACTCTCTCTGCTCTGGAGAGCAGCTTCAGTGACAGACTAATTCACCCTCGATGTGTGAAGGAGAGGTTTCGCAGGTCTTTCCTTCCTGCTGCTGTCAGACTGTACAACGAGAATGTGTAACAGGAACTGCTGAGTCTGTTACATTTTAAAAACTTTTAAAAAATTACATTTCTGATAATTCACTAGTAACTTTGTCACTAGTCACTTTACCTGTTATCAGTACTACTACAGTACTACATATCTGATATTTACTGTTATCAGTACTACTGTATTATTTCATATCTGATAATTCTGCCTTCCACCGTCACTTTACCTGTTGATATCTTACTGTATTATTCATATCCATCTGATAATTCTCCCATTCAAGTCACTTTACCTGTTGATATTATTTCTGATGTTTATTCTGCTCATATTCTCATATTCTCCGCTGCTAATGTATAATATAGACATCTGTAAATACTCTGAACCAAGTGCAATTGTAGCCCAGATTTTCTTTATTTTATTTTATTTTATCTTAAATTTATTGTCTATTATCTTAAATAATATACTTTGATGTGTGCAATCTGAGTGCTCTTATTTCCTTTCTCTGCTGTAATGTGCAACGATGACACTGAAATTTCTCCACTGTGAGACTAATAAAGGTTTATCTTATCTTATCTTATCTTAAGAAAACAGGAGACAGTTTGAAAGAATCATCTGCAAACAAAGACCCTAAAACCAAACAACTACTACATGAGTGGAAAAGACTTTATATTTCAGAGGATGGGTTGTTAATAAGGAAAACGGCAACCTACTCACAAATTGTGCTTCCAGAGACATACAAAGAACGTGTCTTGAACCTCGCCAGAAGCAGGTTTTATTGGCCTAACATGCAGAAAGACATAGAGTTTTTTATTACTCAAGTGTGCAAAAGTAACATCCAGAAAAAGGCTACAGTACATACTCGAGCTCCAATGTGTCATGTACCTGCAACAACTCCATTTGAAATGGTTTCCATAGACTTTGTCTACCTTGAAAAATCCAGGGGAGGGTATGAGTATATTTTGGTGATACTTGACAACTTCACAAAATTTGCCCAGGCCTACCCAACCCCGTAATAAGTCTGGAAAAACAGCTGCAGATAAGATTTGTAATGACTTTTCTCTAAAATTTGGATTCCCCAGTAAATTACATCATGACCAGGGCAGAGAATTTGAGAATAGCTTGTTCAAACAGCTGCAAAAGTACACAGGAATGGACAACTCAAAGACAACACCCTCCCACCCACAGGGGAACCCAGCAGAAAGATTCAACAGAACCTTACTTTCGATGCTGCGGGACCCTGGATGAGGAAAAAAAGGGAAATTGGAGTGACTACGTAAACAAAGTTGTGCATGCTTACAATAGTACAACTAGTGAAGCAACCGGTTACTCACCCTTTTATCTACTTTTTGGTCGACAACCACGTCTTCCAATTGACATGATATTTGGACTAACTGAGCCCACAGGATGTAAAACGCATGAGGAATATGCAAGAAAATGGCAACAACAAATGAAAGAAGCATATGACCTTGCATCCAAAAATATCATAAAGACTGTGACAAGAGGAAAAATATATTACGACCAAAAGAGACAAAGTGCTGTGTTATCACCTGGTGACAGGGTTCTTGTCAGAAACCATGTCAGAAAGGGGAGGGCCAGGGAAGTTGCGCTCATACTGGGAGGAACAGGTCCATGTTGTGGTGTCTCAAAAAGGACAAAATAGCTCTGTCTATGAGATTAAACCAGAGCGTGGCACAGGACGTGGTCGCATTCTCCATCGCGACATGTTGATGCCCTGCAATGCATTACCACTCCCTCCAGAAATGAGAACAGAAGCAACTTACACTAAACAGCACAAGCCAAACAAAAGAAATGTGAGTGACACATCTGAGCATGAGGAAAGCACAGATGACGAGGAGCAATACTGGACTATCATAGATTGAGGTGTAACAACCGGCAAGACTTGCCTGAGGAGTCAGTTGCACCCTCTGTAGGACTCCAACCAGATCAGCTTGAGTATGCATGGTAGATTTGCAGTGGTCTGATACTCCTTCCATTTCAATATAATTGCTTGCACAGTGCTCCTTGATATGTTTAAAGCTTGGGAGATCTTTTTGTATCCAAATCCGGCTTTAAACTTCTCCACAACAGTATCTCGGACCTGCCTGGTGTGTTCCTTTGTCTTCATGGTTCTCTCTGGCTTTAAACAGAACCCTGAGACTATCAAAGAGCAGGTGCATTTATACGGAGACTTGATTACACACGGGTGCATTCTATTTATCATCATCAGTCATTTAGGACAACATTGGATCATTCAAAGATCCTCACTGAACTTCTGGACTGAGTTTGCTGCACTGAAAGTAAAGGGGCTGAATAATATTGCACGCCCCACTTTTCAGTTTTTTATTTGTTAAAGTTTAAATTATCCAATACATTTCGTTCCACTTCACGATTGTGTCCCACTTGTTGATTCATGACAAAAAATTTAAATTTTATATCTTTATGTTTGAAGCCTGAAA